TATGTATGTATGTATGTATGTATGTATGTATGTATGTATGTATGTATGTATGTATGTATGTATGTATGTATGTATGTATGTGTGTGTGTATGTATATATCGCCTAGCATACTATTAATATACTATTATCTATAAGTAGTCAGGGCAGAACAATATAGATCACACAGCTTAATCAATACATGTTTTTTTTTGCGGAGCGCGCTCGATTACACAATCAATTATTACAATCAATAACACGTTATGTATTTTAGAAATTCATGCACTTTGCATCTGAGCTTTATTTTCAGTTTGTCCTATAAGAGGTAATACTGCTATATATAGTTGATCTCCACAGTTCCCTCTGTGTCAATTCTAGCTGCACCTTGTACATACCACTTCGACACATAATTGGTATGCGTGTCGGCCCGTGCTGCTCCGTAGACGGGCGTGGAAATGAATAGCTTTCCAGTCAGACGATTATCACGTATAGGGATTTTAATGGATTTTAAATTCGTGTGAAATGGCAACAGACACGCATTCAACATACACTAAAACCGCAGTACTTAGAATAGGCACATATACAGTGTAACTGTTTGACATAGAGACAATTAAGAAAATTCGATAATAATATTATGTTGCAATAATGTAGAACATTCGTATACAATGTAGAAACAATACAGTATATTTATATAGCAGTGGGACTATAGATATATGATGAACGATATATAAGAAAGCATGTTGACATTGTTGTGTAAGGGAGCAGTTAGACTATAAATATATACAAATACATGTGTTTGTATATTTCTATGGTGAGACAAATACAATAACAGGGGTAAGGGAATAACTTTGATCATTAATTTTAATATCGCAGTTATAATAAAAATAACGTGTTAGAGGGTTATATTTCTCGTTTATACCATTCTATATAACACAAGTAGCGTACTGCGCGATTCTGTACTTATTGCAGTGACTATTAAAATTATCTCGACTAAATCCATCATACAGCCAAGCAGAAAAACATAGACAACTAGAGCACTCGGAGAGCACAGACCTCCGCCAAGGCAGCTGAATTCTCTCACTATGAAAATTTTTATTTATTAATTAATGAATGAAGTGAAATTTTTTATTAATTAATTAATTAATTAAATAATTAATTGGATCGGGATCACCACCAAAATGTAATAAATTGTAAGTTACCCCATTTCTGACCTATCCTGAAAATTTAATTAATTAATTAATTAATTGAATCCGGATCAC